GGGGGAGAGGGAGGGGTCTGGGGGAGGAGAGGGTGCCTGAGGGAGGGAGGGTGGGGGGACCAGGTCTGGGGTTCGGCCAGCGGGTGTCTGGGGAGGGCAGGGCAGGGCAGGCTGCAGCGACCGCTCCGTGTCCCCCACCGCGCCCGCCCGAGTCACCGCCGCGTCACATCCCGCCACCTCTCAGCGCCGCGCGGGGGTCAGAGGCGGAAGCGCCGAGGCTGCCCAGCTATTTATAGCCTGCGGCGAGACCTGGGCGCCGCCGGGAGTCAGGTCCCTGCGGCTCGCACAGCCTCAGTTTCCCCGCCTGGGCGGAGGCGGGGCTGCCCCTCCCTCGGGTCACCTGTCACCCGCACTATTTTTATTCCCTGCTGGCATCCTCGGGAGCTCAGATCCGTTTTCTAATTAAAGGCAGCGGTCCTGGGAGACTGGTCGAGGTTCACGGGGGCGCGGGGGACCGGGCCCCGGGGAGGCGGCTGGAAGGCCGGGCACAGGGCGAGCTGCGCAAGGCCGCCAGACCCTCGGGAGCCTGGATGACCCTGGATGACCGCAGAAGGGCCGCGGGCCGCGGGCCGGGCTCCAGGGAGGGACTAAGTCACCCTCACGCACAGCACCCTGAAGGAGCCGGGCGGGAGCAGGGTGGTCGCTGGGGCGCGTCCCTGATGCTGGATGGTATCAGCCCTGGGGCAGCCAGGGACAGAACTTTGCAAGGGATTCTGGGAAAGGAGGAAGGAAAGAGCCCATCCAAGCCAAGCAGCCACAGAAGGACCCTGACCCCTTCCTCTCCAGGTCACGGCCAGCCGGGAGTCCTCAGCGCCTGCCCGGCTCTCCTCCTCTGTGAGGGGGGGTTGCCGGCGGATGGACCCCGGTACTATTCACGATTCAAGGCAGATTCGCACCCGCACCCCGCAAATACGTGCCCGTACCCCCTCCTCGGACCGTCTATTCAGGAAACAGTTAGGGAAGCCTGAAGATAGCCACCTGTCACCCTAGCACTCCAGAGTTCAAAGACAGCCTCTGCTACAGTTAGAGCCGGGCCTGCGGGATCCATGAGGCCCAGCCTCAGAGGCAGTGGTGGGTGCCCCTGGAGGGGTCCAGACATTAAGAATGCTTCTCTCTCTCTCTCTCTCTCTCTCTCTCTCTCTCTCTCTCTCTCTCTCTCTCTCTTTAGTTTTTGTTGGTTTCTTGTTTTTGTTTTTTTGAGACAGGGTCTCATTATGTCTGTAGAACTCGCTCTGTAGCGCAGGCTGGCCTCGAACTCGCAGACATCCACCTGCCTCTGCCTCCCCAGTTCTGGGATTAAAGGCGTGCGCCACCTTGCCGGGCTAAAATGCATCTTTTTTCATTTTAAAGGAAAACCAGATGGAGGGGCTGGGGAGCTAGCTCGTGGGTAAAGCTGCCACATACGACCCAAGTTCAGATCCCCAGGACCCTGGGAAAGATCCACAGGGGGTGGTGGGTACAAGTGGGTCCCGGAGTCCTGATGGTCAGCCAACCAGTGAGCTCAGGTCTCAGTAAAAGGTTCTGTTTCAACAAATTAAGTGGGAGATGCCTCCGCGGGCAATGCTTTCCGCCAAGCCCGATGACCCTGAGACGCGGATGATGGAAGGAGGGCCAACTCCCACAAACTGTCTTTTGACCTCCACACCCGCGCGCGCACACACACACTCACACACACACACGCACACTCACACACACGCACACACACACACACACGCACACTCACACACACGCACGCACACGCATGCACACACACACACCCGCGCACACAGTCAGGTGAGATCGCAGGTCTGCCTGAGAACGTGCGCCTTGGGAGGCGTGAGGTGTGGTCAAGTGTGTGTCTGTGCTGGGATGAAGAAGATCCTCCTTCCTCTATGCTATTCTTGAGTGTGTACCAGGGTTCATTAGCCCAGGCTGGCCTCAAACTCCTGATCCCCTGCCTCTGCCTCCCAAGCTCAGGGATGGTAGGCGTGTGCCACCGGGCCTGGTTTATGTGGTACTGGGGATGAAAATCAGGCCTTTGTGCATGCTGCACAGCACTGTACAGACTGAGCTACAAGCACTGCACCAACTGAGCAGCAAGCACTCTGCCGACTGAGCAGCAGGCACCCCACACACTGCGCCTCAGCTCCAGCCCATGCGTGTGTGTACATCCTAACTCTAATTAGCATATGTGTGGACGGTCCAGATCTGCGTCTGCAACGTGGAAGTTTCCACTGCGGGGAGACTGGAGCCCCCATGGAGCCTTAAAGGGTCCGGGGCCTGGCTATGAACATGTGGGGGTGGTCGTGGGTGGGGCCGTGGGTGGGGCCCTGGCTGGCGTGGAGGTGTTCCCTCTACGGTGAGGCTTGGACCAAGTCCAGCCCCGCCCCCGCGCCCCACCCGCACCTCCCAGGAAGCTCCCCCCCGCCCCCGGCCTGCCCATCACCCCCTGGTCTCCCCACCGGGGAGTCCAGGGAATCCAGTACGACGTCGCCCCGGGCCTGGCTTTCTGGAAGCCTCCTTTCTGACGCTGCCCGCTCTCCACCCCCGCAGCCGAGCCTCCGGTTTGCGTCAGAGTTGGGGTGACGCCCCCCCACACTAGGCAGGATGGGAGGATGCGGGGTGCAGGGAGCTGCCGAGAAGGGGGGTCCACCGCCATTTCTGGCTGGGGCTGTGGAGCTGCCCAGAGGGTCCCCTTCACGATCAGCTCCACTTACTTCCCAGGCCTGGAGGCCGCCGCTGCCCGGTGACCCTGAGCGCTCGGAACCCCTCTCCGCACCCGCTCACGGACAAGGCTCCTGCGCCTTTAAGAACACCCGCGTCCACCCAACTAGAGCCGCGCTCCGCGGGGCGCGGGCGGGCGGGGCCGGGTTTGTGAATGGAGCCCGAGCGGAGGGGGAGGGGGAGGCGGGAGGCCGGGAGGGGGAGGGGCAGAGGGGCGGGGCCAGCCCGGGCCACGCAGCCGCGGAGCTCAAATCCGCACTCCCGCCGCCCAAGGTCTCCCGCAGCCTGAGATCTGAGGCTGTGGGAGACTAGCACTCCGCCCCGCACAGCCTGCAGGAGGTGGGGAGGGGAAGGGACCCACCCTCACCCCAAAGACCCGGAGTCACAACTGTGTCGGCACGCGCCCCTATCCGGCTTCTCCCCCCGCCCAAGGTCTCCAGCAGCACAGTTACCCGCGGCGGCTCCCGGCCCCACCCGGGGCTTCGAGGGGTGCAGGGGTCACACCTCTCCCGTGCTTCCCGGCCTCCTCCCACCTAACGCGGAGCGTGGGCCTGGGCGTGGGCCTCGTGCAGATGGCGTTTTGGCCCCAAAATAGCTGCCCCCCCCCCACGTCTCCTTCCCTCCATCCAGCCCTAGGGGAGAGGCGAAGAGGGGGCCACGCGCTCCCGCGGATCCCGTTGCACTGTTTGGGGGACACTGGGGACCGGAGGAGGCGCCCCCACGCCCAGGCCGGGCCCACTGCCCCCACACCCGCACCCTCGCGCGCAAGAGCCGCCCGCTCCCCGGCCCCCACCAGCGCCCACACAGC